TGAGCTTTGTGAATTTGTTGATCATGATTTGAAGTTTAATTGTTTGGATGCCTAAACATGCGTCAATTTTGCCAACTATTTGTGACTATAGTGCTTGACTAGTTGATTTGGTTAGGAATTGTGTGATAGTTCTTGGTATTTCAAGGAATTTGAGTATTGGTTTGCAACTATTAGTAATGTTTGTATGGCTCAATATTCTGATCAATCTAGAGATCGTTCGGATTCCATTATGCACATCGAGGAGGACGAAGGCATTTGTTCTCTTAGGTAGCTTTCAGACGATATTAGATACATTTGTTCCCTTCTTGCCACCCATGTTGTTGCTTGTGCCCTTTTTATTAATTATTTAGCCACATTTCAAGCCTATATGAGCCCCATTAGTTACTAGTCCCAAGCTTGGCTTGGGGGAGCTATTAGTTGGTGAGGCGAGGGAGTTGTGGTGTGCACTTTATTTGTACAATGTGGGAATAAAAGAAGAGTGATTGTTCTTTTGATTGAGTGATTGGAAAAATGTTGATGGTTTGTGTTTCAAAGTTGAAAATTTCCAATGTGAGATAAAAAGAAAAAAAAAAGAGCAAAGAAAAAAAATTGTTTCAAATGTTCTATGTGAAGGTTGCTCCCAAAAAAAAAAAAAATAAAATAAAAATAAAAAGAGAGTTCAAGTTTGAAAAAAAAGAAAGAAAAGAAAAATAATGAGTTCAAAGTTTGTTTTAATTCACTCTATTTCCTATTATCATACTTTGTGAGTGAATGTGTAAGTGTTGGGATTGTTGTTATGAATGGGATTGCTTGGTGAATTTTTGTGGAGTTAAGTTGTGATTGGAGATGATTTGGTCATTACTTGTTTTGACCATGGGTTTTGTTAGGATATGGCTCCCTTAAGCATGACTTTTCTCTCACATTTTCCTAAATTTATCATACCCTTTACCCTAGCCTTACATTACAAGCTTTAAAAACCTTCCGACCTTTGTGCATAAGAGTTGTATGAATGTGAAAGTGTTGTTTATCAATGCAAGTTATGATTTGACATATTTCGAGTCGACTAGTAGGTTGAGTGTATATCTTTTTAAACACATGAGAGTGTGAGTTGGGAGGGCATTGTTCACATATAAAGGGGTTGGTTGGAGAGCGATCGAGTACATCTTTTACATGCCACATAAATTAGAGTTGAGTGTGTGAGCACTAGTCTTGAATTCTATATGCTCATGTGGTTTACTCTACTTGACAATTGTTGGGGAGGAAGAATGATTAGATGAATTAAATTGATTAACGTTGAAGCATGTTCATTAGATTTGCCTTGAATCGTTTGTGCTTGATTTTGTTTACTTGGGATGAAGCATGTTTTATATGTTCATTGATGAGCTCTTTGCTTAAGGACAAGCAAAGGTTTGGCTTGGGGGCGTTTGATGTGTCAAATTTTTAAAGTGTTTTACCCCCGTCCCTTGGTCATAATTAGTAGTTTTTTTGGCTCTTTAGAGCCACTTTTATTACTAATTGGTGTTTTCTAGTGTTTTTGTAGTTTTGCTTAAGTTTTGTAGGAAAGTGCACATTTGGAGCGTCTTCTTGGTTTTTCATGGAGCAACTACGAGCATTAAGAGGACACGGCCATCTTTGAAGCCCAGGACCGGTTAAAGCCGGTGATTAAGGGCTCGGTGTGTGATACCGGGGCATTTGGACCAAGTATTCAAGACCCGAAGAGGAAATCCGGATTGGGCCGAAGAATTAAGCCCAATCGAAGTCCAGGCCTCGAGGAAGAGATCGGGCCCGATCAGGCAAGCTTGTGCCCGATCAGGCAAGCTTGCGCCCGATCTGGCGGGCGCGCAGAAGAAGATATCAGCAAAGGCACGCCCGATCGGGTGAGGATTAGCTCGATCGGGCGCGGCTGCCTAGGAGAGGTTTGAAGAAAAAGGCGGGCCCGATCGGGCGCGTGTTTTTGGAGGCACCTTATTGCCGAGATCTTAGTTTTTAATTAGGATTGTTTTAGAGATGTTTAAGTATGATTTTAGTACGAAAATTTTATTTACCTTCTCTTTTAGATTTTCTCTCTCTATTTAGAATATTTTCTCTCTCTAAAATTTTCTCAACTTGGTTCTTAATTCCATTCCTTAATTCGGATTACTTTTGATAACGATTTCTTCAGTGTTAACTTCAGTTATTTTCTTTAATTCTTTCATCATGTCTTATTTTATGGCTTTGATTAGTTTAGATTTAATTATGCGTGAGTAGTTTTATTTCTAGGGTTTATGGGGATCTAATAAATAATATGAAGGGGTAATTTGTGATTGTTGAATATCAATGCTTGATTATTTTTCTATTGATTGATTTAATGCTATGCAATTAGGTTTGGCCAGATTTAATTGTATGAGTTTAGCAATATTCATTCGAGATTCGAGAATTGATGTTTAGGCTTAGTTTCAATAGGCGGACTAATTTATAAATGGTTAAGTCGAGATTCGAGAGATGAGATTTAATACCGGTAAATTAACTCTGTGATTGTAATACGTAGCGAAAGCCCTTTATAATTTGATTAATTTATGCATTGATGATTGCTTATTATGATTTACCCTGGAATATTGTTTATTGGTGAACCTATGCCCTAGGCTTTTTCTTTACTGATTTACCTCTTATTTTATTTCCTTCCTACTCTTACTTCTAGTAGTTTAATTACCCTTTTTATAATATTTTGGTTACTTGATAATTTAGATTGCTTTTAATTAATTAGAAATAAATTGACTTGTTTCCCTGTGGTTCGACCCTTCTTCCCTATCTACATAGTTAGTGGATTTAGGTTTTATTTTTGATTAGTTGAATACGACTTGAGCCTGTCAGAACTCTACCTTATAAAAAAACGGACGAAACTCTAGTTTATAAAAATAGGTTATATGTAGTCCTTAGGCTATGAATCAACATTTAGTATCTTTCTTATTTTGATATTAATTTAGGAATGCATGAAAAAAATTACACGCAAATCAATGCAATGTAATTAATGTTAATTTTCATGTTTTTCCCATTTTTAGCTCTTTATATGTAGCATTTAGGGCTACGTATATCATTTTTCATAAAAAAAAATGGAGAGAAAAAATTTAATATGCTCCATCCGTTTCGTATTGATCGCAACACTTTCATTTTACATCTATTTTATATTAATTGTAACACTTCTATATTTAGAAAGGATCCACCATTATTTTATAATTTTTCTCTCCCATTAACCTCACTTTCACAAATACTTTACTATTTCTATTCCTTACCAACCCCACTTACATTACTTTTATTATTATTATTATTATTATTATTATTATTATTATTATTTTTCCTCTCCTACTAACAATATACGTAGTATTATAAAAAAATCCTTCTTTAACCCCCATATTATAAATTTTCTTAAACTTTGTGAACATCCTACTGTTGCGATTAATAAGAAACGGGGGGAGTAATATATCTTTACCTACTAATGTCCCCACTCTTTTTAGTTTATCAATTCTCACTCCTCCAATGGTCCCACTCCTTCTCACGCCAGTTTATTTTTCAACAAAATAATAATCTTATCTACCCCACTAATATCTTATTTTATTAAATATTCTAAAACTCTGTACATTCTCAACTCTAGCTTAAAAAAAAAGGAAGGAGTAATAAAAATAGCTCCGAAGAGCCAAAAATACTCCTAATTATAACCAAGAAACGGGGGTAAATTACTATATAAAATAGACATAATTATAACTAAGAAACGGAGGTAAATTAAATTACTATATAAAATAGACATATTAATGACAGGGTCCTCAGACTTGCAGATGTGATACTTTATTCTTGGGATTGTGGTCGTAGTGTTTGTGTTGACTTAATAGGGTCTTCTCCTTTGACATAGTCTAAGCTACCTGACTTTGTTCCTAGACGAGTTGTGGCTGATACAACTCATCTAAAACAGGTCAAGTATGAATCTAGTTGTCGGACAATTGGATATGGTTTTATTCCCTTCTCCTTTTCTTTACTTGGGGAATTAGAAAAAAGGAGGCGGTTGCGTTGCTGAAATGGGTTCAGATTTTCTCGACGACTCAAGACTTTAGGGCATGTGATGCTGCTCATATTTTAATTAGGATATGCTTTACTATACCTAAATGAGTGGAGACCCGGATTGTATCTCAACTTTCCACCAATTTTTTTATTGGTTGTTGTATGACTTTGTTAATTTTTTTTAGATATAATAATAATAATAATAAAAATAATGATAATAATAATAATGATAATAATGATAATAATAATAATAATAATAATAATAATAATAATAATAATAATAATAATAATAATAATAATAATTTGTGTAGTACAAAACTAGGAATCTATAATTGAATATATTCATCATTTTTTAAATTTATATCATTACAAATTAGAATTTCCTTATTTAGAATATATTAATAATTTGAATGAATAAATTTTTTTGTATTGTAGTATTAAAGTGTATGAGATACATATATCTAAATAAAAAGAAAAAGAAAACCCCTAGCCTCCTCTTCTCTCTCCTAAACTCTAGCCTCCTTTGTCAATTTTGAAGGGGCTTCCATTGGATTTTATCATAGGAAAGCCCCAATCTTTATTTTCTTTTAAGCCTTTTGTTTCTTAGGTTACAATAATGTCTTCCTCGAAAGAAAGGGTTTATCTCCTTCGAAAGACAAGGTTTTTTCGATCTCCTTCGAAAGACAAGGTTTTTTTTTATCTCGTTCAAAAGACAAGGTTTTTCGGACTCCTTCGAAATACAAAGTTTTGTTTGTGTTTAATTTGTTCTCTGGTTGTGCGGGGCTACTATTGACTATGGCTCGAATTCGGGTGAGCTCATTTTAGTTTGAGACTTTTTTTAATGAAGTGTGTTTGAAATTGGGATTGTGGGCTGGATGTTACAACTAAATAAGATGCACAGGGGTGCAGCTTAGAGTGCCTTAGACCAATTGGGCTGAACCGGGTTGCCACATCTGAACTATAGTAACTCACTAATTGAAGGCAAAACAGCCCAAATTCCAAGAAAACCCGAACGTTTTCCTGTCATCAGAAAATTAAACTCTGTATCAACAATCGTGTCACAAGACTCACAACCCACAATCTCAACTACAGTGACTCAACTTCCCAGTTCACTAAACACTGCCATTCAAACGGTCGACTCCTCACATTTTTCAAATTCACAAATTCTCTCTCCTTTCAAATATTTATATACACACCCTTCTATTTCTCTATTTTCTCTCTTCTCTCTTACAACCCTAATAAAAATATACCATTGTAATTTGTAAGAAGAAAAAAAAATGGGGATTGGAAATACGTCATATGAAGAGCGTCGCCAAAAGAGGGTGGAACAGAACAAGAAACGCTTGGAAGATCTCAATCTCATTCATCTCTCTCAAGCTCTCAAAAATCTCTCCCCCAAGTCGTCTCCGGTATTACCATTAATTGTCACGTTAATAGTGTAATTTGAACTAGTACCATTAAACCCTGGCCTGGGGTTTTGTTTATGCGTTATTTAGAGGTTGAATTACTTATATTTGTTTTTTGGGATTTTTTTTTTTTTGTTTTTTTTTTCTGAATTGAAATGGGCAGATGAAGAAGGTTGGTAAGCCTCGAATAATTGATAAACAAACAGTTGAAGTGAGACGATCTGCTCGAGTTGCAAGTAATCCTGCCCCTGTTTATGCTGAAATTTCATTACCTAGATTTTCTTCACCTAGAAAGTGAGTTCATTACTTCATTAATGTAATTTTTCAATGAAATTTGATGTACTTATTATTAAACATAAAATATAAAAAAAAAGTTTACATTTTTGTACGGGGTAATTAATTGTTAATGTATGTAGGAGTTATGGTGTGGTGAAAGCAAGAGATTTTACGAACCGAGTAATAGCAAGTGATGATGTGAGGGAATATGCAATTGAAGAAGCAGAGAAGCTGAATGCTAAACTGGAAGAAGAGGGGTTTCCTACTCTTGTTAGGCCCATGCTTCCTTCTCATGTCACTGGTGGTTTTTGGCTGGTAACCTTTTTTTTTTCCTCTTTCTCAATTATTAGTCCATGTTTTGTTTTTGGTTGACACATTTTGACTTTGCGACAAGTTTCAATTGTTGAAATTAGTTATCGATCATATTGTATAGACCACTCATATTTAAAGATATGACATGATTTTACGGAGTAAACCATTTTAAACTTATGTTCAAATGTATTTGACTGTATTTTCTTAGATTTGGTTAATTTACTTTTCAAGAAATGTAATTCAAGGAAATTTAGTCTTACACTCAGTAACTCATTGCCTACTAAACTTATACGAGTAATCAGCATATGTGACTATTATTTTCGGACATACGTGGTAGTGTACATTATCCCAGCTTATGTTGAGCCACTTGTTTATGTCACAACCTTATAAGCGTAGATATGTGTGTAATGTGTTGAATTATTGAAATGCTATATGCCGTATACTGCAGGGTCTCCCAACTGACTTTTGCCGGAGGAGCCTACCTACAAATGATGGAATGGTGACATTGGTAGATGAAGAAAATGAAGAGTATCCAGTGGTTTATCTGGCTCGAAAGCGCGGTCTTAGTGGAGGCTGGAAAGGTTTTGCTGAGTCTCATGAACTTGTTGATGGGGATGCTGTTATTTTTCAAGTGATCAGTAGCTCAGTTTTAAAGGTGAACCTATAATTTGCACAACTTAATCCTTTCTCCATTATATAACAAAATTTCTGATGAAATGTCTGGTTTTGTAAATGCAGGTTTATATTATAAGGGGAAGTGGGCAAGATTCTGGTACAGATTAAGAAGCTCTTGCAATTCTTTGGAAGTCATGCTCTAAAATATATATATAGGTATGATATATTTCTTTTATATTACTGATTTTTCTAAAATGCAAACTTTTGCTGCATGCTCTGATGTTATGTAGTTCTTTAAAAATCATGCTATAAAAGTCTAAATTGTTGATATTGGTAGAACATGCTTCTTTTTAGAGCAGGCCCAGGTTGATATCCGTTAGAAACGACAATTGTTTATCTCCATGGCAGATTTGTAAATAAATGGTGTTGAATTTCGCGCTGAGCAATAAAATATTATTTTGTCCCACAAAAGTTCTGACGTCCAGCACTTTTGATTCAAAAAGTGCACTTCACTCCGTTAGTGTACTTCCGTCTACATTAACCAAGCTTAACCCAAGGTAACTGAGGGTGAGTTGTGTCTTCTTCTTTAACTTTCCATTAAATTTCTCTCTCCTCCCTCACAAGTACCCACCATTGCACCATGAAATACGAGCAACTTTAACAAGGAGGCAAACCTTAAAGCAAGCACCACAACCAGCACCTCCTTTGAAAAGGGAACGAAGGCCAGAAGCAAGTAGTTCGTCATTGAAATTCCAAGCTAAAGGTCCTAAACCACAACTAACACCAACCTTAACCCATCTTTTCCGGCGGCCAATTCGCGGCTTCGCCGCTATATTTAACGAAAACCCTAAGAATACGGGAGAAATTAAGGGTATGATTAACCCTAAAGGATAGGCGTTTTTCGTTTTCTTGTGATTTCCCTCCTCCATTGAAGTTGCTAGATTTAGAAATTGAAATTCTATTATCAACGACTAATACTAAATTGTGAAACTGAAATTCGGTAATTAACTGTGTCAGAGATTATAAACTCCTTGATTAGAGTGATTTCCATTGATCTATATTTATAGGGTTACAATCAGAAACCTAATTAAATCATATTAGATAACATAAGATATGTATAGATATCAAAGATAATCTTATACAAAATATATCCTAAACCTAGGATGAGAATATTCTATGGATATTCTCTATCACACCCCCGCAGTCAGAGCGGGAGAAAATCGGATGCTCAGACTGAATCTGAATCACGCATCGAACGGTAAGGATAGTATAGTAACCCACGATCAAAAGAGAAGTAGTAGACGTGTGCTGGTGATGACGATGAGAAGCAACAATCACGACCTACGTATAGTAGAGATATGCGCTTTTAGGCCGAAGGAGAAGAGTCACGCATATACTTGGGCCAAGTTGCAGATCCAGAGAAGAATAAGTTAAGGGATCAAACCATCATCGGGGAGTACTACGTGAAATCACAGTTGAAGAAAAACAAATAAAATTACGCAAGAAAAGATTAAATCCCACCGCTTGAAATTAATCAATTCTCAAAAGAGAAACCAGGTAGCAAGAATTAATACTCCACAAAGATTCCAAGTGTTGCAACAATAAAAGGAGCTAACTTGATAGCAAAAGAGATGTGCAAAAGTTGACCTTATTGTGATATACCACCACCAAAACATAATCTATGTGATTATGTGTAAAAAAAAAAACCAATGAGGCAATGAAAGAATCATTGTTGGTCATGGGGAGGTGGAAATAGAGTGCGGCACATGGAGTAGGTTGGCAGATGTGGTTACTGCCAGTAGTGGGAGGCGGTAGTGTATGCGATTGCCAACAACGATGGAGGAGGCTTTCGCGATTGTTACTGTTGGTAGGAGGCGCAAGGTTACATAAAAATTCTAAAAAAAAGACTTTGAGAAAAGAAAAAAAAAATCTATATGTGTGTTTGCGGAAGCATAAAAACTTTGTATATCCCGCCGGTGGGTTTAATTTTCTAACCCACCAACAGGGTGAGAATTTTTGTATATGATCCCAATATCCAACCTAAGCTGTGATACCATGTCAGAGAATATAAACTCCTTGATTAGAGTGATTTCCATTGATCAATATTTATAGGGTTACAATCAGAAACCTAATCATATTAGATAACATAAGATATGTATAGATATCAAAGATAATCTTATACAAAATATATCCTAAACCTAGGATGAGAATATTCTATGGATATTCTATCAAACTGGGTATTTGACAAAATTCGATGGTGTGGAGGAAACTCAAAAGCTGCTTCAATGGGATACTATGGCGGGGAGAGAGAGAGAGAAAACTCAAGGCTGCTTCAATGGAGTACTATGGCAGCCGCAAGGAGAGAGAAAAAGTGATTTTAGAGGTTGTGATGAATTATTATTTGTAGATAATTTTATGAAACACATTATTAAAATTGAAGAACAAGAATTTACCCTGAATTGAAGAATGTACAATCAAATTGAAGAAGAAGACGCACTGTCGCTGAAAGAAATCAATTGGGTAGAAGAAGCTGAGACAACAACTAACCATGGTTACCTTTCTCCTCTTAACGCCCATGTAACAGTGTAAGACCATCCAATAAATGTTGACAACATTACCCTTTTACACGCGAAAAGACAAATTTACCCTGACATGTTTATATCAGATATTAACTTGGATTTCCTCTTCTTTTTATATATATTGATTCTTCAAAATGTTATGCAATTATGCCTATTTGGTAGGCAACAATAAATGGCGGTAAGGTAACACGCGCACCATATGAGCTATAGGCTATTCTAGACCTTGGGTGTGAATGGTGTGATCGTCCTGTTAGATTCGACCATAAAAGCCAGTGATCATGTTAATAATGGATTGAATTGTCCGTTTGAATTGTTGTTCAAAATTGTACGTAATGCTGGAAATATTGTTATGCTGGTTGTGCTATGTATGATTGTAGCACATAAAATTGCCTTCAAGTTTTCTTATGGTAAACATTTTTTTTTTTGAGAGATCTTATGGTAAACATAGACATGGAGTGATTTAGACTATAGGTGCTGCTCTTTTCCTGACCTTTTTCTTGTTAATATTGCAGGTAGGGTGTTTACATCATCGGTAGATTGAGTAGGAAAATTATGCTAGTGTTTATGGAAAGGTCTTCAATTCAACTTTTTGGGACAACATTTTATATTGGTGATGAACTGATGATCATGAATAGAATTTTGTATAGCCTTTGTTTGGTCAAGTGAAAAACTCACCAAAAATTTTCCATTATGGAATATATTTTTAATTTAGATCGGAAAGGTACACGATCTAAAATTTTTATGAAATATATATAGTATGCAATGGATGTTTAATTATGGTAACACAATAGATGTGAATTAATCGAGTTTGTTGTCTATCTGCAAATTATAATTGTTGTCACTTTAACGAATTTAAAATAGATGATATTAAATGGATTTTTGTATAGCCTTTGTTTGGTCAAGTGAAAAACTCACCAAAAATTTTACATTATGGAATTTATTTTTACTTGGATCTAAAATTTTTATGAAATATATTTTGAATCGAGTTTGTTGTCTATCTGCAAATTATAATTGCAGCATATGTTTAATTATGGTAACACAATAATGTGTTAGTTGAGTTTGTTGTCTATCTACCGATTATAATTGTTGTCACCAAAAGAATTTATACAAATTCTTAAATAGACCTGGATTACACTAATTTATTGTGAACAATATTATCTTGAAATAAAAGTTAGTGTGACATTATAAAAGCTATAAAAGGTTAATTTTTTAATGAAATTTTTAATATAATGGTCAATATGAATAATAAAGATCACTATGTTAAAATTAGTTCACTATTCGACATAATGTCGTACTTTAAGTTCATAATAACATTAAAGGTCCACTCAAATTTTTAAAAAAGGTTACTATGTTAAAAATAAGGGTTACTATATTGAATATTATGCCGATTACGTGTGAATAAGCCTTAGGTCAACAATAATATTATTGTGAACCAGGCCCCCACAAGATTTTAGATAGATGATATAGATTTGGTGATTTTGTTGTAAACCACTATTTATGAAAACCAAGTGGAATCGAGGAGCCTTCTATGGAGTTTTTTGTAATTTTGATTTCCAATTTAATTCTTAATTTCTATGAAAATTTTATTTGTAGGGGACATAAGTTGTAAAATACCTTTGTGCAATGTCTCACAAAAAATGAAAATTCTAATCCTAGAAAAAAGAAAGTCACCAAAGAAATGTCTTTTTCCTTTCCTAAAGTGGCTCAGTCATGATTTTGGAGCTAGGAGTCTAGTTTTAGATTAAAGAATGCAATTGCCAAGAACCCATAATGTGCCACTTAACCAAAATTACAAAATTATGAAGACTTGAACTCCAGACCCTCACAAGGGATAGCAATTGCTAACTTCAACATCATTTTACTACAAATAAGTGAAGTAGGGATTCATGGTCCCAAATTTCTTAAATCTTACCTTAGCATGCAATCAAGCTCCCACACCAAAACCTCTGTTACCAAAAACTCAGACATCATACACCAAAATAAAAGAAAAACTAGGCCTAACTTCAGCTAGGAAGAATGCTTGCATATACTGCAATTGGCAAAGCCTAAGGTTGAGGGTAATGTCCAAAAGCTAACAACAAGAAATGACATTTATCATTTGTACTTACGACACCAGCAAAAACCTCTTTAAGCCTTACCAGTAATTAAGTATCTACAACAGTGAGCAACAATCAGAAAAAACGCAAGAAAACGAATGACATTCCATCACTTCTAGCAGATAACTCAATTGAACAACGACAAATACGAAGTATAATATAATCTTATGCCAAGATCTCGCACTAAAATTGAACTCCAGAATTCCAAACAACAGCGTACTGCTAAGTAAGTTGTACTTCCAAGCACAGATTCATAGTTATACAGTTCAACTATAGCTAGAAAGTAGAAACCACAATAAAAACTACCAACTCTAAAATCAATCTAGGTTATTACCACCAGCCACGGCCAAAAAAAAAGCATAGAATAAGAAAGCAAAATGCAGTATCGTCATTTCATTTTGGCTTCAGTAAACAAAACATGGCGATTAACTCGAGGATCGAATTTACGGAACTCGAGCTTCTCTGGAACCTTCTTAGGGTTCTTCTTTGTTACATAGAAGAATCCAGTACCAGCCGACGAGACGAGCCTGATAAATATTGCACCTCCCTTAGCCTTTCCCATTTTCAAATTAACACTCAAACAAGGCCAGTTACACCTGCAAATTGAAATTTTCAAGTATCAATATTTGGTATCTAACCACTAATAACAACAAAACAATAGTTTGTGCATACAAAATCATAACCATCAATTATGCAGTGGAAAAGAAAGATAATTGATTTATTAAGAAATGAAGATACTAAATATCTGAGCATGAATCAAAATTGTTGCTTCTCTTGTTTCAAACGCAGCTTAACCTCTCCCAAAATGTGTCAAAAATCTCGTCCCCTTAGATCAGATCCCCAAATAATACTTGGTATATAAGAAGCCAAAAGTAAGGAAAAGTGATAGCTTCAACCCCTCAGTATCACAAGTTTGCAGAAAATGTACATCACTCAAAACATTCGGGTCATAAAGTGCAGGGGAAGATGTAAATTAACGGTGATAACAAACCAAACAAGTAAGAGACTAACAAGGTTAACAGAGAATCAGAGATCACCATACTTCACTTTAAGCATGAAAAAGAACCTGTAGTGTTATCTATGAAGACTGGTAATGGCCAAGAAAATAGCTAAGATAGAATTTGTAAGATTACTTTAGCTGTTTAACTGTTAAGAATACTCAGCCATGACAGCAATAACGATAGGCTATGGTAATGTGTGAAATCACTAAGGTAATAGAAAGTCGAAAACACCACAAAAGCTCCTGTTTCATAACAGAAAATTTTTGAGATCATAAACTTCTGTGTTTGCAAATAGATTTATAGCAATGCAGCCTAAACCCGAGCTCTGTTCAGCCTGTATGTTTACTAACATCCTCACAAATTCACAATCCAGGATGTAGGAGGGTAACACAAGCCAGCCGGGCCAAGAGTCGAAACAATATATATAGTCCCAACCAGTACTATATTATCAGTCATTTAGTCTGAAGTCTGAACCATCAAATTTTGTCACGATGAATCTGCCCACCATCAAATTATGTCAACTCAAACAAGAAACTAAACTAAACCCAATTGAAATCTTTAATGTAGATTGCAACATCAACTCTTTTTTCTAGTATTCTTCTTAATTAATCAATGAATAGAGCTTCCAAACCTACATAATTCGAATCTTATATATTTTACGCAGTATAATTTACTGAGCTAAAACAAATTAACCCAGAAAAGTTGGGTAAAACAACTAGAATTGCAACAATAAAGAGATAAATGCAATTATCAAAACATGAATCACCAGACATTCACCTAGAAAAGATTGAGCAAATACAAACAAAACCCAGAAATCTAAACCCGTAATATTGAAATCGAAAGGATGAGAGAGACGAACAGTGACAATCAACCCAGAAATTCAAAAAACAAGAACACTGCCTTGTTCGATAACAATTAGGGTTACAAATCAAGCAAAATTAAAGGAAAAATATGAAAATGCTTTGCACTAATAACAAATAAACTAACTCTTTTACCCGAAATTGTTTGATATTCAGGTGAATCAGATTCGAGCTTCAAGTCAACTTGCTTTGCTAGCTTTCCTCGACTGCTTCGCTTCTTAAGGCCACGGTGTTTGGTTCACAAAATTTAACTTACTCCTAAATATGGCTCTGGGTTGTATCGGGTCGTGCCTCACTACCTCGTGAGAGGGCCACATGCTTTGGTGTTAGTTAGGCTCACTCCAACAGTTTCGTGTCGTGCCGGGTCGAATTTTTCAAAAGGTTGTCCCGTGCACGCCCCAAGCCCACATGCCATTGTGTCGGGTCGTGTCAGGCTTGCTTGCATGCCCAAGCAAAATTGCATTGATTTTAGCATATTTTGTGTGTAGGGCCAGACCATGTCGTGCCTTATCGTGCTTCTCCCAATAAAAGACGGATGTAATTCCCCCTTGCTTTGAAGAAATTGCTTCGATTGATCTAATGAATTAGCCGATTGATGGGTTTCCTCACAAAAAAAAAAAGGCGGCCCAGGCTCAGGCCACACACACAAAAGTAAAGGTGGGCATCGGGCCATGCCTGGGGGTGGCTCGTGTCGGGCCTGCTTCCCGGAGGGCCGTGCCGTGCAAATTTTTGGCACACCCCAGCCCACGGCACGGCCACGTGTTTGGCGAGCTGTGCCGTGCCGGGGAGCGGGCCGCCCAGGTTTTTAATATATATACTGCCTCCAGTTCAATTTAGTTGCAACAAAGTACAAGTTTTCGGAAACCAAGGCAAAAGATTAAATACATGATTATGGAAAAATAAGGGTATATACTTAACTATTAATCCAACCCAAAAAAAAGAAAAAACAAATTCAACCTTAATTAAATTAAATAACCCACCACCACCAAGCATCACCCAAACCACACAACACCACCCAGTACCAAACCCAACACCGTCGACGCACCACCACCACCCCACGCACCCAACAAACCGTCGACGCACCACCACCACCCCCACGCACTCAGCAACCCGCCAACCCACCACCACGATCCGAACAACCCACGAACCCAGCAACCCGCCGACCCACCACCATCTCACGCACCCAACAACCCACGAACCCAGCACCCACGAACCCAGAACCCACGAACCTCGAAACCCAGAACCACACGTTTGAGCTAGTAATAACCACGAACCCTGCACCACCGAACTGCAACCACGAACCTAGCACCGCCAATCTGCAATGACGAACCCAGCACCGCCGATGCACCAACCCACCAAACCCACGAAACCAAACCCAAAACCCGACCCACGAATCAAACCCACGTATCCCGCCGATCTGAAATCACGAAACCCGACCCACGAATCAAATCCACGACACCGCCGATCTGCAACCCCCGCCGCTCTTTACACCACAAAGCCACCATGCAAGAAAATGGGGTTGGAGGAGGAGAGAGAATATTAAAGGGGATGAGGGTTTAATTAATTAAGCTTGAGGTTTAATATAATAAAATCAAATTCATAATTTAATAAGGTTGTTTAAAAAAAAAAGTAAGGGTATATTGGTCAATTACCACCCAAAAAAACTAAAGAAGGAAAGAAGCAAGTTTGTTACGAGTAAATTGAACCGGGTATATATATACATACATACATATATATACATACATATATATACATACATACATACATACATACATACATACATACATACATACATACATACATACATACATATATATATATATATACATATATATATACATATATATATATATATACATATATATATATATATACATATATATATATATACATATATATATATATATATACATATATATATATATATGAAGTTTGTTCACAGCACGGCCCACAACCCACACCTGGCCGCTGTGCCGCTGGCGGACTCGTGCCGGCACGGCCCATGCCCACCTTTACACAAAAGTGTGGCGTGCCGTGTTTCTTTGCAAATATTTAGCTAGTCTCGCGACAACCCATAGGCATAGCTGGCTAGTCCCGCACTATAAAAATGAACATTTTCTAGAAACAAAATGAATATTTTCCAAAAATAAAATAAACATTTAGTAATTGAACATTGCATGATTAAAGTGAGTGAAAAATGGAAGGCGGTGATGTGCAGCAACATCAAGGCTAACAAGGACAAACAATCGAAAACAAACCTGGTTCACAAAATAAAAAATTTAGAACAAACAAACAAAAGTGAATTTACATATCGATCAAAGGAGAGAGAAAAATACCGAATAAATGAGGTACCATCATTCAGAGAATGAAAACGACATACGTAGAAATGGGAGAAGAAAAGGAAGAACTTGAAGCACGAATAGCTTCACTGCAAGAAAATAGTATAGTTATTGTTAGTAGTAGTACAAATTTTGGGAGTTTAAGGAGAGAGAAAGAAGGAGTTGTTTAAGATCATGGATCCCGATTTCCATCCCGATTTTCATGGTGAAAGCTTAATTAATAATGAACATTTATAATATAAAAATAAAATTAAGAGACTATGAAAAAAAGTACATCTAATTTTATATGATTGAACATCCTTTACTATAATAACGAACATTTTATACAGCTGAACAAACACAAAAGTTTGTACACCATTAATTAAATAAGAAAATGAACATTTATTTTATATGAATGATCATACAGCATGAAATGAATATTTATTTTATATGAATTAACATTATACTGCATGTGTAGGCGTCATTCGAAGCGCGCCTACGTTGAAAGCATGTAGTGAATATGCTTGGCACTCTTAGGAAGTGGGAATTGACATATACGATTAGGGATAACGATTAGGGACAAGGGTAGTAGGGAGCCGCCAACAAGTTTTTAAGGAACTTGTAAACCGTTCACGGATCATAAAAAGGCAACCACGATAAAGGGACAACGATAGGCAACAACGATTGACCTGTGAAGTTTACACCACATTCATAATCCATGAGATTAATAACTCCATATGGTTCGGAACCACGAAAGGAAGATCGGGGATGATGGTACGAAGTGAGTCATAGAGTCACATTCGCCCGTATTGGCCCCTACTCGATTCTTATTATGAAAAGTGATTCCTGCGATCTCAAAGGCATACAAAAAAATATTCAATTTGCTCCAAACTATTATCATGCTAAATTGGTTGAATATTAATGCAACATATAATTCTAAAATATTAGTGATCACTTGATTAAACAACAAGATTAAAAGGGAACCTAAACCGACCATCCAAATTATCTTATTAGGCGTGATTTTCAGTTACATATTCCCTTTAAACATGCAATATGGTGATCAATAAATAATAATAGAATAAACATTAATATTGGAAGCAATTCAGCAATAAATTGTTGGAAAAATGGAAAAGAAAAATCCAACCTTTACACTTTTTCCTCCCAAAAATCCAACCTTCAATTTATTCCTCAAAAATCCAACCTTTATACCCCTCCTTCTCCAACAGATCCATTACCTATTGATGACCGATTTTTGTAGGTCATATGCCACGTGTCGGCCATTAATTGGTCAATTAGTTTTTTAATTATTAAAAAACAAAAATAATTAAAAAAAATTCAGAAAAACCAAGCCCACCCTCCCTCCTTCCCTGACCACCCTATCCTCACTGCCCACCGGAAAACCCAACAACCCCACACC